GGAGGTCCCCGGGTGGCGTCGGGGCAGTCCCTGCAGGGCGTCCGGAAAGGAAATATTTTTGGAAAGGGTGGGAGTTAAAAAGGCGACGCAGAACTGCCACCTCATCAGAGCTAATGCGAAAGGTGTGCAATGAATGTTGGTGCCGCTGCTGGTAGCTTACTGCCTTTTACTGAAACTTTAGTCAGTGCTGCTTGAGGTAGTTCGGTGTGTGTTTCATTTTCTTTGGCCTGCTAATAGGGAGCTAAGGGGAAATGCTGTGGTGTCCTGCAGCACAGCTCTGCAGCACCATTGAGCTGCTCTGTACTGGCCTCAAGCCTCACTTTTATATCACTTGTATGTAATTTTCAAGTTAGAAGGTTTTTTTCCTTTGGTTTCCGTAACCCACAACGGTTATTAGTGCCTGACCTGCAAATTTGCTGTGGCTTCTCACTGTCTTCCATTTGTTTATGTTTTTTTGCATCACTGTTGGTGTTTGAAGTTGGTCAGAGTACCACGTGCAACCTATCTGCTTTCAGAGTATGCTGTCAGCAACACCTGTGTAGTCAAACACATTCTCAAGCTCCTGTTAAATTTATAACTTGGTTATGCAATTGTGCATTTATTCAGAAACACGGTTGCACCTGAGAAACGTCCTGTCACTGGTAGAGGTTGATTGAGATAGAACTGAGACTGTCACTACTCAGAATAAGTCTATGGACTTGCAGCTAACCTGGCTTGACATTAGAAATTCAGTCGGAAGATGTACTAGATGAAAATTTCAGCTCACCAAGTGGCAATAGGTACATAGTGTAGCAAAGATGCTCTGTAGTATATGACTATGTGCTGTGGTGTTGAGTTGCTTTTTTGGATATGTATTCTGCTATTGTTGGAGGAAAAACCTAACTGAGTTCAAAGTATGTGTGTGTGTATATGTATATATAAATACATACATAGAACTCTGGCAGTGATGTTCCTGCTGAGGATTCTTTATTCAGAAGTGCTGGCCTAGTCTGATTATATTCTCTGTAAATGAATAATTTAATGAGTCTGTGAATTACCAAAGCCACGTTTCCTAGCTTGGGGTATATTCTCTTAACTGAACTCTGATAGTTTACTCCCTTTCAAAATATATTTATTAATAGGGTAAGAGGTGATGGTTCTTGATGTTATTTACTTCCTTATCTTATTTCACAAACTCATTTCCCAGGAAATTGAGTTAGGGATGTAGATTTTGTTGTTATTTCAAGTATCTAGATTCTTTTTTTCCAGCATTAGGGGGTTTTAAACTCAAAGGCCTTAAAAGGCACATTTATGTTTGTCTTGCTGCCTTGATTGTAGAAGTCTTCATTGTGTCATCTGAATCATGAATCTTTGGGACGAGTGAGCTTGAATTAGCTTTGTGTCTTAAGGGTCAACATTTATGAAAACTAATTTATTTCTGGCTGGTGCATGAGTTCAGTAAAAGAGCTGGAATAGTTGTTGGTGTGGCAAGTTGCAGTTCACCCATTGCTGTTGTGTCCTGAATTCCTCCTCCTGGATTACCTTGGTTTCTGCCTGGTGAATAAGCTTTCATTTGATGTGAGTCACCTCTGGGAGAGTCAGTTTTCATGGATGGGTTGTCCAGCCTCATTGCAACAGAGAAATGAGCTTTCAGTGTACAGAGCTCAACTCATTGTCAGACTGCTAACCTTATTTAAAGTGTTTCTTCCATATCCTTCTATCCGGAGTTTGGGAAATCTTTTTTTTTTTTTCCCCCCCCACCCCAAACTGTAATGAGAACTAATGTGAGGAAGAAACTAGTTTCCTGGGAAGGAGGAGATGTGTTTGTGGTATGTATTTTTGATTGTTTGTTTGCTGACCTTTGTTATATTTATCAACTTTCTTTGGGAACTGAGGGAGTAACAACTTTGTGGACTGAAATCGCATGCAGCTTAATTGGGTGGGGGGAGCTGCTGTACTCTGAGACTTCTTATGAGCCCTTTCATACTACTCCTGAAACTTTGTGATTGTTCATCTACTTACTTTGTTTGGTGTTGGTCTTAAAACACACACAGACACAAGCAAAGCCCAAACCTATTTAAAAATAGCTGCAATCTTGCAACTTGAGGTAAGCGCAGGGTAGTTCTAATCAAAAAGCTTCACGCAGCGAAGACCCCCCCCTTCCCCCCCACCATGATAAAACAATTATTAAACTTTCAGGTAAAAAAAAAAAAAGAAAAGAAAAAAAGGAAGCTTGGAAGGAAATTTTAAATGGCCACAATTGAGATTAACGGCATGTATGTTTCTCCTTTGTCTATGACTTCGTATCAATTTTTTCTGGTACACGATTATAATTTCTTTTGTTTATTTTCATGGGCTTCTTGCCAAGCTCAGGGACAAGATTTCTAAAAAGTGTTTTGTAGGGGAGAATTCTGTAGGAAACATGAGAGAAATGTGTAGTCGAATGTGAAACTTGAAACTGTTGAAATTGCAGAGTTTTCTTGAGGTTTTTACGCTGTGGTTTTAACTATTGCGTAAAGATATAGCTGGAGTTCATATACTTATGGACAAACATATTAGCACCAGTTATTCTAGTAAAACAAAAACCTACTAGGAAGTTATGATTTATTTCCAGTGAGTGTATTTAACTGGAAAAACAGGTTAGCTGCACCTGTGTCTTTGCTGTGCCTTCTGTTGGGCTCCTTTTCAGGTATCTGAGCTGGTACCATTTATCTCACAGGAGATTTTTTTTTTTTTTTTTGACTGTTCCACTCCTGCATCAGGCCCTGGACTAAAATTTTTTCAGAAAATATGACTTGAATTGACACCTGGGGCTCTTGTATGTGGTAGTCTGAGGCCGGTGGTGAATATAACAGCTTTTAGAAATAGTTATTTCTAATGGCTGAAATTTTAATACTATTCAAATTTAAAATACTTAGCATTTATTATTTTTAAAAGTTCTATGTTTGCATATCTTCTGCATAAGTATCCTATTTTACTGGAGCATGCATAGCTTCATCTGTACTGCTGGGTCTTTGATATCTAGCACCTTAATCACTGTCTATCTGCTGGAAAGAGCTCACTGTTTTGGGGATTTTTTTTTTTGGTTTTGTTTTTGCTCCATCTCATTGAGCTGGAATCCTTGGGCCCATTTCTGGACCTAGGGAAGAGTAGAGTCCCAAACAGGTTACACAGAATTTGATTTCTTAGAGCCAATAGTACTAGTTCCTGTGACAATTAACAATCTTTAGATGTCTATGGTGGGGTGGTTTATTCAGAAATATTGTTAAAACAGAATAAGCAATACATTTATATGGTAACTGAATAAGCAATATATGAATAAACAGCCCAATAATTAGATCAGTGTACAGTGTTCCTGAAGGGCTGCAGCAGAGGTCACTCTCTGTCATGGTCGCACTGACTTTGAAGGCCGTTTCTGGAAATTCTGAGTTGTTCTGTGATGACGTTCAGCAACTTGTAGGGTCATGTTTTAATATATGTCCAGTAGTTAGGCTTGTTCTGCGGGGATCAGAGAATCTCTAGTCCTTCATAGATTCCCTCATGGCTCTATCTGTGTTGCTTCTGTGTTGCTGCCCTTTTCTTGTTCTGCTTGCCTGGCTATCCTACGTTCTAACTGGCTTATTTTTAATGGTCACATTTCTCCTCTCTCTTATTTGCTGCTATTATCTTCAGTATTTTCAAGGGAAAAAATATCTCTCTTGCCTAATGCACTATGGGACTGTAAAACTATACTGAACATATTGCGAATAGTTCTGGTGCATCTTACTGTGCAAACTATTCTTAGAGCTATCCTCCTGTGACTAAAGGTGAAATGAGGAAGCTCCTTTGGAGACTAAGACTCTGAGACTTGAATGCCGTGTTTAAGTGGATGAAAGATGCCCCTTTAATTGACAAATTTTGGAGGATTTCAAATATGAATAGGTGGGAAGGGAGAGCAGGGATTGAAGCTTATTAGTTTTTTTCATTTAATTCATGTTAAACACTCGTCTGTGTATGGTTTGATATCTGTTTTGTTGCTAGTATACCTCCAAAGGCAATGGAATTTACCCCCCCCCCCCAAAAAAAAATTTTGATCATTTTTTAAACTTTTGTCATTATAAAAGACATTAGCATACTGGCTTTGGACTACTCCATGATCAAAACTATGCCAGAACCAAAATGAAAAACAAAGTGGCAAATAAGAGAGTCCATTTTTCTCAGAATCAGACATTCACATAAAAACTACCTTGAAGTGGAATACTATATATTCAAGAAATGTACTGTCAAGAAATACTTCTGTACCATTGTCAGTGGAGCTGTTTTTTTTTTTTTTTTCCAGCTCTGTTTGCACTTGGAATGGATTTTGAAACCCATAGTTTAACAAGATTTATAAAAGGAGTATATGAGCAGTACAACTATCTTAACTTCATCTATTTAAACAAAAACTGTATTGACTTACTTTATATATGTGTAAAGTCAGTTGCATTAACTTAGAGGAGGGGGAGTGCGTTTCGTTTGCTGTCTCAGTTCTAAAGCAAGCAGTTGAACTAAAACCCTTGAATCCAGAGTCTGTTTATTAACAATATTTAGCAGATATATCTTTTTTTCTGTGGATACAGAGTTTTCTTCATTTTAATATAGACCGCTCAATGATTTTTCTTTTATAATATGGAATTGAAGAAATTATGAACTGTAATAAGGAGTGGGAAGGGAAAATAAAAACGAGATCCGAGCCGCTGAAAGCAGCTAGTTTTAAAATCTTGATGCCTTGATGATCAGAAATTAGTATTTTTTCATTACGAATACTTTATTTTTATTTAATCAGCTTTCAGTATGAGAAGGTTTGATAAGCTTTCTTTTAATCTGGCAGCACAGTGTAACGTTTTAGTTGAACTCTCAGAAACAACATGAAAATGCTGTTGAATTTTTGTATTTTAGATGAATTCTAGTTTCGGTCCAAATTAGCTCAATACAAAACCAAAGTAAAATAAATTGATACCTTCTCATTCATTATTTCCTAATGTAATGTATTTATTCTGGATTTTAAGATATTAACTTGCTTAAATGCATGCAGAGTACACGCTCTCAGTACAAGAAAACAGCTTGTGCAGTGAAAGTTTAATAGTTGCAACCTGACAAGTTTTACTGGAAGTCTATCCTCATTTAATAAAAACCGGTAAAGGTGCTGGAAGAAATACAAATTAGAGACCTCCATGGCAGAATTCATGATTTCAGTCATTTCAGCATGTATTTGCAATCCTCTGCTCGCTTCTTCTCAACAGTCTTCCTTCCCTTGGTGGTTGAGCAGCAGCAATTCATTAGTTTGAAAACTCTAGCACTTCTGAAACATACCACTTTGGTATGGTTTTCATACTCACTTAAATAAAAAGGGAGTGAGAGTTTTAACTGTATATATCAAAGCTTGCGCTCTGAAAACAGTGTGATTTGGAAATGATAAAGAAGAGACGAGAGTGTACACAGTAGGTAAACCAAGCTCTGAAGTGGCTAACAACTCTCAGCTGAGTGCTGAGTTAATCAGCAGGGTTATGACATTTAAGTTAAAAGGTTTGTGTATTTGTGTGTGCTTTATGTATACTTTTCCAGATCCTTCTGAAATTGAAGGCCCACCTAAAAATATATTTTGCTAAGCTGTTTTTATAGTTGATGTATAAAGCCTGATCTGCATAAGAATAGTACTGAATGTATAGAATGGGAATAGATGTGCATATTCTGCTGCTACTTATAAAAAGGTGCATTGCAGTGTTTATCCACTTACTTTGATACCCTCTTTGGGGAGAGGAAAATATACTGAAAGTTTATTAGGCTGCAAGTTGTTGTAATATGAGAAAATGTGACCTCTGGTTTTATACCTGTTACAAAGGTCCCCAGGCATTCACCACTAAGTCAGAGTCACTCTTATACGATCGTTTATTTCAGCTCGAGCTGGGTGCCTCCAAAGAGGGACCCTGAACAAAGAAATTTTCGGGTAATTGTACTCCTTGCAGTCTTATTTCCCTGCCTGCTAGTGACAGTCTCTTCCAGTTGTCTTTACTGAGTCGGTGGTCTCTTTCCTTTTGATTGGTTCATGTCTACACTCCCGGGATGGTTGCTATGTTCCTGGTGCCTTATCTTATCCAAAGGTTAACCTATACCTCTCTCCATTGTGTTCTGTATCTTTGAGGGCTGATTCTAGCTGGTTCTGTAGTTGTTCTGTCAGCAGTATCCCACAGGTTTGGTTAAAGTTCAAGCTTAGGCCTGTAGGCTTCACTACTCCAAGCACTGATGCTAAGTTTAATCAAGGTTATGCCAATGGAAATAACAGTAGTTTTTTTTTACAGTACCAATATCTATTTTTATCAGTGGCTTTTGATATAATCAAACTTGTCAGTCAAAGTATTGATCCTTTTCTTTAAGGAGCTGAATGTGGAGTAAACGCAGAAGTAGAAAAACAACTTGAAATGGGAAAGAAGTTATTGGCTGCTGGACAGCTAGCAGATGCTTTGTCTCACTTTCATGCAGCTATAGGTAAGTATTTGAGGAAAGTGACTTTTGCACTGAAATACCTTTCATTTCCAAGTATTTGCTTCATTAAGTAGCCTGCTTGCTTAAAAGTTGCAGTGCATGAGTCACAGCAATTGAGGCACCTTCGTGCAGCAGTCTGCTCTTGAACAAGATCCGACAGAGATGCAGTAGTATATTTATACTTTGCTTTTGATAAAAGAAACTGTTAAATAAACTAAATGATGTGTGAACACCATGTCATTGCTGTTTTCCAAGCTGGTTGTCTGGAAGCAGTTAGACTGTGTTACCATCTGATGAGGTACTCCCCGTGTTTTCAAGATTAGTACAAAGTTTTTCAAACTTCATTTTTGAGCAGTGGAGTTTGTCGATGCTTTCTTCTTCTCCAGCCCCATTAAAAATATTAAAAATATAATCTTTCTTATTTGTAATCTTAACAGTGGTCGATCATGTCAATTGAAATCATGCTATACAGGTTTGAAATGTTAAACTGATGGTGAAGAGTGCGTTCTGTAATTAACTGTCTGTCTGTCTCATTCTGAGGTGCTGAGTGAGTATAGGTGTTTTGAGTTTTCAACAAACTGATGAGTTAAAGGCGTGCTTGTATAAATTTTAAAGGAGTTTTGCTGGGCTGAGTCTTTGAATTGAAGCAGAGGCAGACTGGCACCAGTGAAGCACAATGACCAGTAACACTGCAATTTGACAATTACACGTGCTTTTATTTAATAGACTTTATGTTGTGCGTATACAAGTGCAATATCTTCTCTGTGAGAAAAATAAATGCCAAGGTGTTATGCAGTAATCAGTCATAGTGTTGAGACTTTCCTATTTATGCTGTCGTCTAAAGGTGAAATGCAGATGAAACAGCTGCTGATTCTGAGCTATTAGCATTTCCTCTGAGCTCTCCAAGATCAACTTCCCTTATACAAGGGGAGCAGACAGGGGAACTTCTGCTTTCTCTGTACTATAGAAAACTTGTCTCTATGGGGATAGTCTCTTGTTCCTTTTGCTCCTTGTGTTGGTGGCAAAAATTCCTATGTGGTCTGAGTAGAGTTGTTAACCATGTATTTCATTCCTTTGTTTTTGTTTGGGAAGCTTTAACTTGAATTCGGTGAATAGTCCAGTTCAGCCTGCAGCCACACGAATGCTGATGTTGTTGCAAAGGAGGAGGTGGTGTGAGGTGGGATGAGCTGTGAGATGCCCGCAGGGGATGAGCGGTTCTGCCCCCCCCATCCCGTTTTGCTAGCAGTGCTCAAGCAGCTGATTGGCAGTACTGTGTGACTTATTACCTTTCTGGGATTTTTAGTACAATGTTGTTTTGAGTCTGATTACCTAAACTTTCATCAGATTCCTTTGCTCTTTGTACTTTGTCTTTTTGAAAAGATTTTAAGCATAGCTTAGGTACTGAGTTCACAGAAGAAGAGAGAAGAAATTTGTTTTTGCCTGTATGGCATCACAGCCTATGTGAGGTAAATGGATCTTTTTATGTCTGGCCTCATCCAGCTTTTTTTACCTTTTTTTGCGAATATCTAAAATTAAAGGAAGCTACTGTCAAGCTTTAACCTCAAATGAAGTGAGGAAGAGAGATACCCATTTTATTCGTTAGGTATTCCTTAGATTGGTGTTCTTTCTCAAATTCAGGTTTGGCTTTAATAGCACAGTCATAAGTTTACTGTCTTGTAAATGTACAAGTGTGTGTTTGGGTAGCCCAGTTTACTTTTTTTTCCCCTCTTGAGAGCCCACAGTAACTTGTTGTTTGTTTGTTTGAAATACAGAGAGTGTTAAAATGGCTGAATCTTGAAGTTCAACCAGCAAGCAATGTGGAATGTGTCAGCTTTGAAGTTAGCCTTCCAGTTTAGATACTGTACATACTTTGGTCTGCTGTTTAGATAGGGTTTTGATGCCCACTTTAATATTAAATAAAGAAGTTGCTACTATCTAGATGAAAGCTATAAAGGGTTTTATGTATCTCTAACTGGACTAACATGTATTGGTCATTTGGGGATTGTTTGCATCCTGCATGATGCACAGGGACTGGGAAGAAGAATGATGAATTAACATACTTTCAAAAGTAGGCCTGCAGTTTGAGATAAAGGCTTAGTATGCAATGACTGTTTGTTTTTTTTTTTTCCCTATGCAAAGCTGAAAAACCTGTACATGTTTCACTTTCAAAACTCTCTATTTGGAATATACTGTGTTTTTTGTTATCTATGTTGTTATAATCAAGCTGTATTAGAAATATTACTTGGAGCAAACATTACGTTTTATTGATAAATACCTTTTTCCAATGGCTTAAAACTCAGGTAATGTATTTTTAGTCATTGCAGTTTAGCTTCTTAGTACCCAGAAGCTCAATTGCTTTGAGACAGTATTCTGATTACTGTTCGTTCACTTGCAGACGGAGACTCAGATAACTACATTGCTTATTACAGAAGAGCCACAGTGTACTTAGCCATGGGCAAATCTAAAGCAGCAATTCGTGATTTAAGTAAAGTGGTTGAATTAAAGCAGGACTTCACATCCGTAAGTATTAGTGGAATTGAAAATTGTTCAAGCATAAAAAAACTGCTTCAAAGAAAGGTGTTTTTCAGATTTTGCTAAACAGAAAATACAGGGGGTTTAAATAGGAAAAATAATAGCAATGGCTTGTGCTTGAGTTTATAACAACTCAGTGCAGTCTAGCCAGTTATTCTAATAACGGTTTTGTGTTTGCGTTTACCATAGGTTTGTACTGAACACTTCCCTTCTCTCACTTGCAGCTTCTCTCCTCTCAGTTGCCAAGGCTGTAACCATCAGAGAAAGGGAGGGAGCAGGTGCCTCTGCTTTCTTATGTCCTAACTGGTATATGATTTGAGACATCTCTTCTCCGCAGCAGCTGTCTTAGTATCACTGCCTTCTTATGGGACTGTTGTGATTTCAGACTTAGCCTTTGCTCCTTTCCCCTCACCATATGTGGAGGGACTGCCTCGCTAGTTGGAGACTGATGCTGGTGTCCTCTCCAGATGATTTTTCTTACCTCCTATATCCATTTACAGTGGGATGTCCTGTATAGCTTACATCAAAGAGGTCTAATAAGAACATTGTCAAATCGATAAGGCAAAGAACAGACGTTGTCATCTCTGGTTCAGCTTGTTAGCTGTATTAAAGTTAAACCTTTTTTCCCATGAAATAAAGTCTCACTTCCCTTTAATACTTTCCTGTATTCTAATTTGCAAATCAAAAGAAATTATCTTTCATTTCAGGCAAGATTGCAGAGAGGACACTTACTGCTCAAGCAAGGAAAATTTGATGAAGCAGAGGATGACTTTAAAAATGTGGTAAGTTGGAGGACTAAGTTGAACTACATCCTTGCTTTTATTTTTGAGTTCTGAGCCAAGGTCTCGTCTCAGCTCAGCTCTGACGCTCCAGAGTGTGTGTGTGTGTGTGTGTACGCCTGAGTTTGTGCCCTTTTCTTTAAAAGTGCTGTAGCTAAGCCACCTTGTGTAAGTAAGTGACTGATGATGTTTCGGTGGAGTAATGAAGGTGAAATCAGAAGGTATTGCATGAGGTAGCCTAGCACTTTCAGTGAAGAGTCGTCTTTGTGTGTCTAGCACTTCATGATCTTTGGTTGATGACATCTATACTAGGGAGCAGTCTCTTTGCAGAAAGAAAGGGTAATGAGAATACCACTATAGTGACATGGGACTCAAAGTATCTAAATGAACCTAACTTTACATCACCATATCCAGGTCACAGTGAGAGATGAGTGGGGACCTCTTGAATCAACTTTTGAAGGTTTCTGTCTTTTTCTGCTGATTACAGAAGGATTCTGGGCACTCAGTTCAGTTGTTATGATTAAGTGTCTGTGGTAAAATGGATGAATCCCAGTGACATGCATGTGCATCTCTCCTTATCTGCAAAGTGGTTCCCCAGCATTCATGGATGTATTAGTAATACTTTCTCTCAGTGATCAGGAAGTTTCCAGAGCTTTCGTACAAACAAAATTGGATATTACTCCTATTATTCATTCTTAAATTTGTTTACTCTTCAATAGTTGCTGGTTTGTTGAACAGCTTGCCTGTCCTTTATGCCAAAATAAATATATTTAAGTGTGACTATATGCTATCTTACTGGCTTTACTGATGTCTAATGGAAATGTTAAGAATGAGTATGCAAGACAAAAAACAGTAGTTTACTATCCTTCAAGATACATCTGCAGGGCAGTTGGGAGGAGTGACACTTGCAGGTATGGATGCACAAAACAGTCTTTGCGTTGGCAGCAAACCTGCAGTAGCTTATTCTGAAGTCCGTACTGCAGTGGCTTTGCTTGTTGCTTCCTCAGTGAGTTACTTAGGAGTGAGCATGTGGTCTGCAGCTGCATGTCTGATTGTAGTGCAGCCCTGCTGTTTGCAAACATGGGAGAATGTCAGTCGGCTCTGATTAGCTGAGGACATAGTCACTGCAATAGCAATTAAATGATGTCATTGTTGGTTCTGAGTGTGTGCGCGCGTCTCTTTGCAATAACTGTTTCTCTGAGTATTTGTTGTTAAATACCACATATGGAAATGCTTTTCCAGTCAACTGTTAAGTAGCTTGCTTTTCTTCCAAACTAAATGCAGAAATTTTTAGATTGTTGCCTTCAGTCAGTCAAATGGTTTCAGTTCGTGGTTTAGCCAAGCTTTAAATCTGCTAAAGGAGAGCAGGGTTTCTTCTCAGAGGATAACTAATAAAAGATACCATATTGGTCCTAAATCTCATTCCATTTTCTTTGGTTCTGTGAACAATATTACTTATGTACTTCTCAAAGAATACAGCAAACGATGTATTTTGAAAGGCATACTCTTCAGTTATATACAGTCTATTCAAACAAAGTAAGCCAATATTTAAAGTAAACTTTTATAATAAGTTAACATATTACATTTTTTTTTTTAAAGTGATCCTACATGTCTTGCATCTTTAAGTGGAATACGTATTTATTTGAATGGTCAGCGAGCAAATTTCCCTCATTTCCCTCTAAATCTTTCAGATAGCATGGTGGTTCTACCAGTGCTTTAAGTGTCTAAAAAAGCCTACTTGTACTCTGGCAGTCCATTTAAATGTAATTTCGTATTTGAATGTAATCTCAAGATACGAGGAAGTAAGATTCACAGTGCTATGAAATGTAGTAACATTCTGTGTTTCTTTAAGTGTTTTTTTGCTTGTTGTTTTGTATATGAGAGTAGGGATGGGGGAGGAAGGCTATTGGGATGAAATGACTTTCTGAATGATTTCCAAAAGTTGTACATCCGGACTGTGCCCCTGTGCCACCAAAAGCAACAAGGGAAAGGTAAATAGTAGCCACTGTCATTACGAGGAAGCTTTGACTTGCACTGTAAATCAGTTGACGAGAAGTCAAAAGGAATAAGCTATACCTTAAAATGAATATGTGAAAGTTTCTTCTGCTATTTGGACTGATATAGCTCAAAGAAATACCAGTGAAGTATCAACAACTTACACAATTCAGTTTTAGATTTGGACACTTGAAATCATGTGTTTACATGTGACCTGGCCATGTAATCTCCAATTCTTCTTTTCAGCTGAGCAAGTATAGGTGAGGATCTGAATAGCTGTCCAAATTCTGACTGTGCTGGCAAGATATCCACTGACTGTAATAAGAGATTAAACGCCTAACACGTGAACAAATGTAGACATCCAAATCTGGAACTACACTGTAGTGAGATTTTGGTCATCCTGTATTTGTTGTGTGTATGCTCTAAGTCTATGAACAGTGTCACTGTCAGTCGCTAGACATGCAGCAAGCTGGTCATATGTTTGAGCCTGCAGAGGTCAAATGTCATTAAAAGATGCTGTGTTTAATTTTTTTTCCCCATCACGCTGCTTCTCCTCCGCTGCAGAGGAAGTCTCCATATTTTGAAGAAAATCATCCGCTTTCTTCCTGTACAGATTTTCAGCTTGGACTTTACCTAGAATAGGTGTTTCTGAGGATGTCATATGTCCCCAGGAATAAACGGGGGTTTTTTGTTTGCTTGTTTTAACATGACAGCTTTTACTTTGTGTTAAATCTTTTGCTGAAGCAAATAGTTGCGTAGAGGAGATGGACTTGCTCCTCTTGAGGCCAGCCTCAAGAGGAAGCAGATTGTATGCCTTTGGGTGATATTAGATGTGTTATCTCTTGTGTGATTTCACTGGAAACTTTTTTTTTTCTGTTTGTCAGGTGTTGACTTTAAGGGAGGAGATCAGATTCTAAAATCTTCTCCCCTTTTGAGGAGAAGGGAGAATTCTGAAATCAGGGTGAGGAAATTAAGTATAGTAGTTCTGCCTGGACTACTCAAGGACAGAGGGTAGGAGTGAGGCCGTTTGGAGTTCCTTGTATGACACTGACTGTAGGACAGTCAGTGTAATTAATGTTACCTACTGAAACTCCAATGTGGCTAATGTAATGAGCTATCTGCAAATGCTATTTTTTCTGTCTTTGTGTGTTCTAGAGGTCTATCAAACCCCTCTGTATTCCCTTTTAGGTGAAATGAATCACTAGGAGGCTTGGGTAGAGGGGGGTGACTCAGACTTATCCCTTGATTTGTTATGCAAAATTGCACTTTTGTAAATCTCTCATTTTTTCATACATGTGCTAGGCTGATGAAGTTCCTAGGTGGGCCGCTTCCCCCCCAACCTCCCGCCGTGCACCTGTGCTTCACTGGTCCTCACTCTCTGGAAAAAATTGCTTTTCCTTTGCAACTCAATTGCCAGTTTGGAAATCTAGTACCTACAGGGTGAAAAAACTTTTAACGGATGTCAGCAAGGGGATCTAATTCCTATCTTTGGAGTGCCCAGCATGGAGCAGGGGTTAAGCAGATGTCCTTTGTTGGTTTTAGAAAGTCACTGCTCACAATGGATGGATAGATAGTACTTCTCTGCTACAACTTTAGTCAGCGGTTTGTGTACTTCAATTCCAAGTTCCTCCTGTTCTGATTCATGGTTTCTAAATAACGGAAGTCAGCAGGGCAGATTTGAAGCCGTATCAACATTTGCATCCAAGGCCTCAATCCAAGAAAGCCTTGAAGTATTTATTTATCTTTAAGCGTGTGATTTTTAGTGAAAATAAAAGGAATACTGGTGTTCTTTGCTTTGACAAAGGCCCTTTGAGAAGGAGACGAGTGATACAAGTCCTGGCTGTCTCCCGTGTGCCTTGTAGTATTGCCTGTGGCCCTACTCGTGAGGGAAAGTTTTACAAAAGCGGTCTTAAAGGAAGTGGCAGAGCGTGAGTTACTGAATTCAGTAGAAGGCATGAAAATCCAAGGGGTGTTAGCATAGAATTTCTGCCTTTGCTGTTGGAAAGTGTGGAAAGGGTCAAGTTGTCCTATAGCTTTCAAATTCTTCATTTTTAGGCTGCCTGCAGTGTTAGCAGTTGCAGTTCATTGCGAAAAACAGTGTAAACTGAGATGTCCTAAATACGCTTCCAAGGGAGACGGAGTTATGTAAACACTTAAAAGTTGGAAACTGAAAGTACCGCTTCTGACTCCACTAGATGTCAGCCAAGACTAAGCGGCAGTGTGTTACAGACTTGCAAATGCTTGTTTTCTAATATAGAGAAGCCTTCTGTTACTGCAGAATACACTGAACAATATTTTTACATGGTTGCTTGGTATGTGTAATAATATTGTTTTTGATGTAGGTGAAGGAGACCATCTTACTCAAATCTGCTTAACTTGCTAAGCAAGTTCAGGTTGGGTATCTGAAGTTCTCTTACGCTGTCAGGGTGTTTTAGGAGATTCAGGTTATGATTGGTGTTAGATTGTTTCCGAATAGTTTCCTCTGAGGTAAGGTGATCATCTGTAGCTTCCTGGTTGAAGAGTAAAACGTATTGAAGTGCTTCCTTTCTTCCATCTGTCTAAAATTACAGCAGTGCTACTGTAATATATTGCTCTACCAGTACAGAATTTTCCTTGGTGCTGTGTTCCTGAATTATGTTCCTGAATGCATGGATGTTTGTATCTTAAATAACACAACTTGTGGGGTTTCCTTCAGTTCCCCTCAAAGTTTTTTACAAGCCTAATCAATCTACTTTTGTTGTCCGTGTGTTCACTACTGTGAAAAATAAAACAGCTTCAGAATGTGTAGCTATCTGCCCACACTAGGAGCATTGTAAGCAAGGTATAGAAAAACAGTGTGTATTTTTTGGACAACTAATGTGGAGTTTCTTAATTTTGTTTAAACGTTATTTAAGAATATTTGTTGTTCGTATCTGTATTTAATACGTACCAAGACATTCAAATGCTACAGCTAAATTGCCTGTATGTCTTTAATCCAGACTCCTTGAGCGCATGGATTATGAGTTTTT